CAACAGCCTGGGGGCGGCCGCCGCCGCCGCCGCCGCCTCGTCCTCGTCGTCGTCGTCCTCGTCGTCGGCCGCCGCCGCCGCCGCCGCCTCCGGCGCGCCGGGCGCCACGTCGCTCGTCAAGTCCGAGCCCAGCCCGCGGCCGTCGTTCAGCATCGAGAACATCATCGGCGCGGGCCCCGCGGGCCCCGGGGGCTCGGCCGGGGGCGCCGGCGGCGGCGGCGGGGTCGCCGCCCCCCAGTCCTTCCTGCGGCCGCCCGGGACCGTGCAGCCGGCGGCGCTGGTGGCCGCGCACCAGCCGCTGTCGCTGAGCCGGACGACGGCCACCATCGCGCCCATCCTGAGCGTGCCGCTGTCCGGACAGTTCCTGCAGCCCGCCGCCTCGGCCGCCGCCGCCGCCGTCCAAGCCAAGTGGCCCGCGCAATAGTGAGCAGGAGCTGGGGGTGGCCGGGCCGGGCCGGGCGCCCGCCCTCCTCCCGGGCCGTCCGTCCGTCCTGGTCCTGGCCCCCCCCCCCCCCCCCGGCCCCTGCCCCCCCCCCCCCCCCCCCATCCCACCCCCCGATTCCCCAACACCGACCAACTGCGGCCTCCGTCCCCTCGCTCACCTAAGCCGGCCGAGCACGCTCAAACAAACACGCGTCCGCTGGGGATAGCTTTTCGTACAGGTAAAACTGATAACCGAATTCCCCCCCCCAAAAAAAAAAATTCACCCCGACGGCGCCTCCTCTCAGTACTGTGGGGGGTGGGAGAAAGCTCTTTGTACATATTTGTATAAAAATCATTGACTTTTCCTTTTGGGGTTTTTATTTTTTTAAGAAAAGAAAAAAAAAAGCAAATTCAGTAGATTTAGAGCTCTGAACTTTCATTTTTTTTGAAGGTTCGCTCTCCGCTGTTTTATCTGAGGAAAAGAATGTATAGAGACGCTGGGAGATTTTAAATACAAAAAAAATTTTTTCGAAAAGGCGAAGTGTCATTGTATTATAAAAGTCTGTTTATATATGAATGAATATATATGATATTCTAAATGTTATTCCATCGTGTTGTACACAACTTTGTAAATAAATTTTTAAAATGCTCAGTCTAGTGTTTTATTTAGGTGTCTAGCAAATGGCCATTATTTTAAAATGGAATTTGCATTGTCTTCCCCAGAAGATCTAGCAGTCTTAAAATCATGACCTTTTCAAACTTTGCAGGCTCACAATTTGGGTGCAGAAACTTTTGAATTTGAAAATGAAGGGAGTATACTTAAATGATTTAATTGTCTGTTAGTTTTCACCTAATACCACAATAAGGATGACAGTCTCATTCAAGTCAAGCCGCTGTAAATGACCAGTGGCTCCTACAACGTAAACTTGTCATTAAAAATCTACACAACAGCGGTCATTTTAAGAGCAGCAGGTCCAATAGAGTCCACCAGGCAAATTTACCACGAGTCTTTGCTCATTTGAATTGTCCTGTCAAGAGCAAAATTACAAACAACTCGTATTTTAGCATTTAAACGTTGGATTTTTGGAATTCCTTTTTCTCCCTTACGTGGAGGGGCTAAAATCCCATTGGTTTTTAAAGTCCCTCGGTAGTGTTTTAGCTTTTTGCATTTGGATAGCAATGTCTGCATCACGATGTTAGGCAATGGATTTTTTATTTTTATTTTTTCCCCTTCCGAAAAATGTCAGGTAGATCCCTCTTTTTTTTTTTTTTCCACGTCAATTATCAACTCGGGGAACTGGATTTCTGGAGGACTTCTGAAGCGCTAGTTCCCCCCTCCCGACCCCGAGCCTGTCTGCAGGCCAAGGAATCCGAATCGATACACCTTTCTGAAAACAGTGCATATTACCTCCGCCTTTTTTTTTTTCTAGCTTAGGTTTTCTGAGATCCGAGGCAGAGGTGGGAAACGGCCTCGTAGATGATTTTAGGTATGCGTTTCAGCCGTTCCCATTTCTTTTCCACGGTGTGAAAGTAGAAATGCAGTGTCTGGACGCAGGAGGCCCGTTGGGCCACCATCAGCCGCATCCTCAGACGGCATCCATTCTAATTATTTTGTAATTAATTTAGCTGTTACAATTACTTAAGCGAAATCAGTTTTTTTTTTTTTTTTTTTTTTTTTTTTTTTTTTTTTTTCTGGTTGGTTGCTTGTTTGGTTTTTTTTTTCTGTTTTTTTTTTTTTTTAACTCCGGGGACAGTCGGGGAGCAGCGATGTCGTCTCCACCCTCCGAGCGTCCTGTCGGTCAAAAGCCCAGGCGGTGTCGGAAGCCGAGTCCGCTGCTCGCTTCGCACCCGGAATCCGAGCCTTATCCTCGGCGGCCGGCGTGGGCTTGGGGGGTCGCTCTGAAAAAAAAAAAAAAACCGCTTCCTCGCCACCACCGGCTCTGTTTTCCCGGTAAACGGTCAATGTTACGGCTTCCCCGACTAAACATTCCGTCGGGAGCCGGGTCCTAAAATAAAACAGGCTTCTGGGGTGCGAGGTTTTTTTGACTGGATAAACAGGAACCCGATCGTCAGCCGCCGCTGAGGGAGCGACGTAGCCTTCGCCGAGGAGCAGAGCTGCGGGCGGGTCCCTTTCAATCTCCTTTTACAAGGAAAACTAAACGGATCTAAATTGGTTTGTGCGTTGCAGCTATAAAAGTCACAAGTTGTTTCACAGTTGTGTCTAGCTAATCGGTTTTTACACAAACAGCAAATGGCACACGGTTTGTGCAAACACAGAGGTTACTTCTAAATTTAGCTGACACCCCTGGGAAAAGGGAAAGGCAGGGCTTCTTGAATTCACTTTTAGCCTCAAGAAGCTGCTGATCCAAGGCTTCTAAATGACATTGGATAACAGGGGCCTCATTCCATCCCTGATCCTTTGTTACTTATAAAATTACTCGCTCATATTTCCGCGCATAGCAGCAATACCGGCCGAGCCTGAGCACGCAGCGTGACACTCGGGCACAAGCTGCCGCTTGAGATCCGTAGGGCCTTTTCCAGCGACGCGTTGGGCGGCGCGGTGTGGGGACCGCTGCGACTTTCCTTCCAGCCGCTTTTCGCTGGGACAACAAACAGCCCCTCTCCCGTGTATTTGGAGGGCAGGAGGCCCCGGGTCCAAACTCCAGTGGCCAATGGTTATGGGTATAATAACTGGTCGAGGAGAGCCTAGCCGTAACCCTGGAGAAAGGACGAAGCTTAAGCTCGAGATAGTGGGGCTTTGGAGTAGGAAATTTAAATGCTGCAGGTAAAGGCACTCAAGCACCGGGTCGGGTGGGGCAAAGCTTTAAACCCAGGTTGCTGTTTCCAGGCACTTGTGATAAAAGGCGAGGTAATCCCTCTTCAATTGAGATTTAAAACAGTGCGATTGCCACATGCTTTTTTATTACAGTTTTTTTTTTAAAAAGGAAATTAAAAGAAGGGTAAATAAAGGAAACAGGTTGGCTATAAAAGGGAAGATGCTGGGCTTTCAGCTACACACCGATTTAAACATTCCCCGCTTCCTCAGACACCGATTTCCCATCAATTCACTCTTAAATCCTGGGGCTCCTAGTGTGACCTCAGGATGGAGTTCCTGAGCGGGCCTCTCTCACCCAGTCCCTTGCGGGAATGCAGGTAGGATTCTGGAGGTTCCAGAAAAACGTGAAATAATCTCCGGACTGGGCAGAGCTGTAGCTGTGATGGCGATTGTGGCCTGTAGGGGGAGACGAGCCGATGGAAAACTCCCGAGCTGTTTTTGAAGATCCGACAGGAGGCTGCCCTCCACCCCCAGCCCACCCCCACCCCAAGGCCTCTCCCTGGCCAGGCTCGGAACCAACCCCCCTGACACCATCCTTCATCCTCAGGTCCGGGAAACTACCAGGTCGAATCTCCGAGAAGCTGCTTTCCCTGGCCTATGTCCTGAAAAGGGACAGGGTCTCGAGGCGAATTCATCCTCGCAATTATGAAACGTGCAATTCAGTGATGAGAAAATACTGTCTCGGAAGCAATTAAGGATTACACTTGCAATTATTTATTTTACGCAGCTCCGGAGGAGGAATCTTGGTAGCGAAGAGACCACGGAAAGCTAGTGTGTGCTGGGGGAGGCGGGGGGAGGATGAGGGAGGAGCTTTTTCAAGTGAGTCCCTTGAGAAAGTGACCTGAAGAGAATTTGAACTGAAAGAAAACCGGCTACGGAGACGCTCCCTCCCGTGTCCCAGACGGCCTGGGCTGCAGCAAAGCCAAAGCAGTTGGGGAGGGTTGCATTGGGGGAGGCAGCAAGGATGAGAGGCCTCACAAGAGGCAACTCTCAACCAGGGATTTCCTTTCACTCCGGTCAAGCCCCCTTTAAAAAAAAAAAATGTTTTGAGTTTGTTAAATCTCTTCAGGTCTTTTGACTCTACCTGCAGACTTAGGCTAGTGTCATGGGGGGGGGGGGAAGGGCTGCATAAACGCTGCATAAACTGTGAAGTGCTGAAGGTACTTCACGCCCCGACCCCTCCCCACTGCCACCACCACCACCACCAACCCATCTCGGGTCACGCTGGTCTCTCCCCTTCCCCGCCCCCACGGCCTCTAGACAGAGAAACGATCCTGCCCTAAGCGCTTTGGCGGTGTTCGCTTTGGTTTTTTTAAGACGGGTCACAGGGAACTGAGCGAAAGGGAGGTGGCTCAGGGAGGCGTCCCCCAGAGGCCAGGCTCCACCGTCCTGGACCACGCCCCGGACCCCGGGAGGAGGGCTCCCTCCCTCCAGCCCTCCCTCGCTGCCGCCCAGCGGCCTGCTCCCCTGCCTGCGGGGCTGGCTCCCGCTAACCCGGGCAGGTAGGGGAGTGCCCAGACGCCAGGCCTGGCCTCCTAGGCGAGCTCAGGATTCGATCCCCTCCCAGGCCTGCCTGAAAGACCACCCTCCCGCGCCGCCCTTCAACAGTTGGCCGGCTGGCACCCGGCAGCAGCTCGGTCTCCACCGCCGCCGGGCCATTCTTTGGTCTCTGGGGTGAAAAGGAGCCAAACCGGGCTGGGTACCCAACGTAATTGGAAAAGAAACGCGAAGGGAGCGCGACCGCCCGGTTTTTTTCTTCATCGTGGTGTCTCACATCGGAATTTCCCCTAAATTAGCCTAAGGATTTAAGATCTTCTACGTTTTGTGAAGAATTAAATGAGTCCGCTCCCCCGTTTCCTTAACATGAAACTGAAGCCAGAAGCTGCTTTTCCCAGAGGACTTTGTGCTTTTGCACACAGTCCCATCCTGCCAGGGGTGGGAACGAGGGGGAACATCATTGCCTTCCGAAAACCGTGCCTGGAATAACCGCCTTAGAGCAAGCCTCACGGATAGCCCTCTCCTGTATACACCCATAGCTCCGGAAGGCCCCGTGACACGCCACCCCACCCCCAAAGTCACCCGTGACCAGGCCGAGCTCTGCTAGTAGTCCGGGGGTGGAAACGTGTTCCTTACCCGGGAGGGACCGTGCCATCTGGGGAAAAGAA